CCTGCCCAGTAAGGAGCAAGACCAAGGCTTGGCACAGGAGAGCTGAGGTGTGAGTGGCTGCACTCCTCACCACGGGAAGGGCTGGGATGGGCTCCAAGCCCACCTGCGGGGCTCTGAGGGCTGGGCAGCTGCTGGCAATGGTGTCCTGACCCCCAGGAGCCCTGGACACTTACTGGTCTGGCACGGCACCCATCTGCCTGGGGGGCTGCAAGGGCAGGCACAAGGAGCTCAAGAGGAGCCAGTGTGGGAACGGCAGCTGCTGCTGGCTGGGCTACAAATCCTTCTGCAGAGGTAAAGGGGGGAACCCTGGGCGTGCCGCAGGGCTTTGTGCCACCCTCCAGCAGCCTGGGCCACGCGGGGACACAGCCTGGGCCACCCACTGCCCTTGTCTGGGTGACCCCCGGGGTTGTCCCTGTGGCCAGCAGGCTGCCAGCCGCGGTTCCATCCGTGTTGCAGTGAACTGCGGGCGGCCCGAGGCGGATTTTAACTCGGTGGTGCACGGCAATGACTGGTGGGTGGGCTCCGTGGTGCGCTACAGCTGCCGGCCCGGCTTCCTGCTGCTGGGGGACCCTGCCAGCGCCTGCCAGTCCGATGGCCGCTGGACCCCCAAACCTTCCTGCCTCCGTGAGTGTCGCGATGAGCCCCTGCAGCCACGTCCCCAAGCCCTCCTTGTCCCGGCGGGCTCCAGGTGAGCATCCCGTGATGGCTTTGCCCTTGTCCCTGTCCCTGCAGGGATCTGCCTGCGGGGCCGCATCGAGATCAGCGAGCGGGACATCACCGGCAAGTGCTCCTCGTCGTGTGACAGCCAGGCGCACCTGGGAGCTTTCCTCAACCGCGGCTGCATCAAGATCTCGGGCTGTGTCACCAAACTGTCGGGCTGGCCCCGCTGGTTACAGCGCTGTGACATCTGCGAGTGTGACTGCCACGTGCCCTGCGGTGGGTCCTGCGCTGGCACTGCCCAGCTGTGCCTCACTGGTCTGGGGGAAGGTTGGCACTGGGAGATGGGAGCTGCAAACAGCTCAAAATCCACTGTCTTTGCTCTCCTCAGGTTCTTCCAGGTAGAGCTGGGCCACCCGGGGCTGTGGCCAGTGTCCCAGTGCTGAGGGAGGCTTCCACCCTGGCTTCTGCTTCCTTTCACCACGTGTGTCCATTGCTGTGTTCCTTCCATAAGCTGTGTCTGTCCCGAGGCTGTCATCTGAGAAGAGACGTTCTGGACTCACTCTTGCAGGGCTGGCTCACCCCAGGACTCTCCAGGGGCAGGGGATGCTCTGGGAGCAGCAGGCGCTGGGATCTGTGTGTGTTTCCTGCAGCTGGCCTTGGGGACAGTGGTGTCACCCCCATTTGCCTGGCTGCTTCCCAGGGGAGGCTCAGACCCTCTTTTAGGAGAGAGGCAGCACCTGTGCCTGTTGCAAAATACCTTCCTTTGGTGCTGCATGTTGTGATTTCTCCGTGTCAGGTAATTCCAGGCCCTGAGCTGAGAGGTGGAGCTGCCCTCTGAGCTTGCTGAGGCCAGCAGGAGTGTGACATCTGTCTCCTGTCCCCATGCCACGGACAGAGCAGCCTGGCCAGGGCTGCAGCACGCACTGCTAAGGAATGCAGTGGGTCAAACTACCCTGATCTCACTTCCCAGGTGGAAAATCTTTCCCACGGGCTGCTGGTCCTGCTCCTTCTGGGGGGTCTGTGGTCCTGCCCTGAGTGCCCCTTTCCCCAGGGGCTTCTCCTCCCAGCAGCTTGGGGCCACAAAGAGAGATTTGGCTTCAGCCAGGAACAGCTTTGTGCCCCTTGAGGACATCTCTGGCTCCTTAGGAAGCAGCCATGGAAGCAGTTTTGTTCCCCCAGGGAAGGAGAGGGTGGTCTGGAGCACATGTGATGGCATTGCTGAGGGTGCTGGAGGACCAGCCACGGGTCATTAAAAATATATTTGCAGGGAATCACACAGGTTTTCCTGTCATGCAAAGAGGTTCTGCTGCCTGCTCTGTCCCTGCAGCCCTGAACACAGATGACAGAACCAGGACAGACTCCCTCTGCCGCTGTCCTGAGCAAGTGAGGCACCATGGGGACACAGCTCTGGACAAGGCCACTTTAGGAAGGTCCCAGCTGGGGATTAGAGGGATGTGAATGTCCCCATGGCACTGGGCTGCATCCTTGCTTCCTTCCACTTTGAAATTACTCCCCAGCAGCTGCTGGTTGCTTCATGCCCACCAGCTTGTGCCCAGCTGAGCAGAAAGGGGTTTAGCATCAATGAGGTCATTCCCAGGCCCTCCTTCTGTCCCCCTGCAGGGTGCACAGAGCAGGTCTGGGCAGGGACCTCCTCACAGGGAGTGCCCCAGGGATGGGAGGCAGCTGGTGCAGACAGAACTGGGTGAGTGCCACGTGCCTTTTGGCCCATGACGAGTTAAGACCTCCATGAGGAGCTTGGCTCCATGGATAACTCCTCATGCCCTTCCCTGGCCCAGCCCCCTGGTCTCCTCTGCCTGGATCCTGCTCTGACATCTGTCCCAGCCTTAAGCTGGGAAAGCTGTCCTTGGCTCAACAGATGGTTTTTTAATTAATACTCTTGCTGGTGCCGCTCATTTCCATATGTCTTTCGTGTTTAAGTGCTGTGGTGGGTGAGAGGTGTGAGTAACAGCGAGGAGGGAGCCAGGCGTGGTGCTGGGGAGGTGCAGGAGGATCCAGGTCCTGCAGGATGAGCTGCACCGGGGAGGGTGTGCTGGGGGTAAAACCCTGAAGGGACACCCCCGTGCCGTGACCCTTTGTGACCAGCTGTCACCCCACTGGCTGTCCCAAGCCATGGCAGCCCTGCTTGCACACCGTGCCCGTGCTGGGGTGTCTGCACCGGGGTCTGTGCAGGGCTGAGTGGGGCAGGAGTGGGTTTAGGGTGTGTTGGGCTCACTCAGGGGGGTTTGGGCTGAGGGGGCAATGGGGGGAGCTTCGGGGGCTGTGTCCCAGATGCAGATGGGAGCCGGCACTGGGGTGCAGGGGTGTGCAGAGGCAGGGCTGGCAAACCCCAGGCGTGTGCTCAGGGATGCTCAGGGCCTGCTGGCAGGCAGCGAGAGGAAATAGGGCCGGTCCCTTTAAGAGGATTTTTTGCTGCCTGGCAGCGCTGCCCGCCCGGGCAGCCCATCTATCCATCCATCCATCCATCCATCCTGCCGCCCATCCTGCTCCCCGCACGGCAGCACCGGCCACGGGGCTGGCGGAGAGGGGCGCCCCCGAGCCCGGGGGGCTGCTAGCCACTGCGGGACTTCTGCTAGCCACTGCGGGGCTGGGGCCGGAGCGCCCCTCGCCCGCCCTGCCCACCCAGCCCCGCGGAGGGATGGGGAGGAGACTCGGGCTGGGCACCCGCGGGGGCAGCGCCCAGCCCGGCTCCGGCCACTGAGCACCGCAACCGAACCGAACCGAGCCGCCCCCCGCCCGGCCGGGCTCCCCGGGCATCGCCCCTTTGTCTGCGGAGGAGGCGAGGCGGGGGCGCTGCGGGAGCGGAGCCGCCGCCCCGCACCCTGCCAGGTGAGCCTGCGGGAGAGCCGAGACCCTCCTCGGGGCAGGGGCCGGGGGGGCTGGGATGGAGGGGGCCGGCGGGGAGCAGGGATGAAGGAAGAGCATCCTCGGGCAAAGCCTTGCCGTCCCCACCCCGCGCCTCGGGGCTGGGCTAAGCCGCCGAGAGCCGCTTGCGGGATTTAGCGCTCCGTGAACGCCCAGCCGGAGGAGTCAAGGTGAGCCCGAGGGCGCTCCGAGCCCGCTGCCCCCCACCACCACCCCCGAGCCCCCCGTTCCTGCACCCCGCGGATGTTGGGAGGGGACCAGCGGGCTGGGAACCCCCACCCCTCCTTCCCACCCCTCCTTCCCCGGGGCTGGGCTGGCTTCCTTCCAGCCCTGAGCAGGGTCTGCCCGCAGCAGGGAGTGGGCTGGGGGATCTCCCGCAGCTGCCGGCATCCGGCCGCCCCTCGCAGGGGCCGTGTGTGTGCGCTGCAGCCGCAGCGAGCCGCTCCCGCAGCCCCGCTGGATGTAGGTTAGCGAGGCGCTGGGACCCCGGGCTGGGAGGAGGGATGGGTGCAGGGCACAGCCCGCGCAGGCACAGCCCGAGCTCCTTTTCCTGCTGCCAAGGGGATCCCCGACCCCCTCCCAGCCTCTGAGAGCCGCGTTAAGCGTGTTCCCCACCCTGCTCGGCTCAGCATCCCCCCGGCACCGCAGAGTCCCCGAGCCCAGCGGAGACACAAGCAGCTCGGCCGTGCTGCAGCCGGCTGAGGAGCACTGCAGGCAGCAGGAGAGGGCTGGGGCAGGTGTATCAGCGTCATGGCCCCAGTTCAGTGCCGGCCTGGCCTCTGAGGCTGTGCTATAAGAGCCTGGAAGGTGAAATGATGAGCTAAAGAAGGCAGAGAAGGAATGGCACCAGCAGGGCCCCCTCCCTGTTCTGTTAAGGCTCTCCCAGCAAGCCCAGGGGGACCCTAGGCACTGTCTGAGGGTCTGATGGATCCAGGACTGCTCTGCCCCAGGAGCATGGCGTGCTTTGTCCACGAAACCAGCTGGAATAATCTGCTTGTTTAGGATTTCATACCTGTGTTCCCCAAGGCCAGGCCAGGGCTGGCTCCCGGTGAGTCCTTGGGGACATGCAGGCATAGGGCAGGACATCAGCTCTGCCACCTCCCACCCTGCACCCACCAGCGCAAATGGCATTGGGACAGGGAGCCCCCGGGCTGGGGGAGCCGAACAGCTCCAGCAGCAGAGCTGGACAAAGCTGCAGGAGGTGCATGAATTATTGACTGTGGAGCTGAACAAAATCCTGCTGCTCCTGAGCCCCTCGGCGCAGGCTCAGCATCCCTGGCTGGGTCCATCCTTCCAGCCAGATGTGGGTGCTGGCCGCAGCTGGGCGGAGGGGACAGTGAGGCCTGGAGCCAGCAGCAGAAGGAGAGACAGGACTCGCTGTGGGCTGGTCCCTGCAGTGCCTGGAAGAGGGAGCCCGCTGCGAGCCGATCCCTGTGCGCTCCCCACAGAGCAGCAGGATGGCGGAGAAGGGCATGGATCCCGCCTGTGTCTCCATCGCCCTGGAGGACACGGTGTGCCACGCCGGCCCTCCGGACGCCCCCCTGCTCACCACCCACTTGAAGAAGGTGGAGAACCACATCACAGAGGCCCAGAGGTTTTCCCACCTCCCGAAGCGCTCGGCTGTCAACATCGAGTTCATCGACCTGTCCTACTCCGTGCGGGAGGGATCCTGGTGGAGGAAGAGAGGTAGGAGCTGGCGGGTGGGGAAGGGCAGGGAGGGGACCTGCAGGGCTCTGACACCCCTTTCCCGATCTGCATGCCGTGATCTCACCCTGCTCTGCCTGTGTGCCAGGGGCTCTTTGTGGCTGTTTGTTTGTTCTGGGTGCCCGTGGCAGGAGCAGGCAAGGCTCGTGTCCCGCAGCAGTTGCTGTGTGCCTGTGCTGTGCAGTGCCAGGGGAAGGCAGAGCGCATTCCAGGGAAACCTCTGGCCAGGGCAGATATCCTGGGGCACCCGGGAGGGGTGGGATGGGTTTCCCCAGCACTGCTCTTTGGGGTGCGATGCAGCAGGAGACCCCAGGGGTGCCCCAGCTCAGAGGCTGGCAAGGAGAAGGTGTGGTTTGTGGGGGATTTCCTCTCCCTGTGCAGCCCAGGCCGTGGCTCCCTTCCCTGTGTGTGACTCTGGCCGAGAGCTCAGGGAGGGGAGGCAGATGGCGGCTGGTGGGTGGTAGTCTGCTTTAATTAGCGCTCTCAGTTAATGGGATGCCAATCAGGCAGCCCGATAAGATGGAGGGCGAGCTGATCTGCAGAAGCTGAAGCGGGGACCGAGGTCACAGGGCTGCTCGGTGACGGGTCCTGCCAGCCAGGAGTGGCAGAGGGGGCTCTGCCCTCGTCCCCAGGCTGTGCAGCTCGGGAAACAGAGGCGCTGAAACACGGTGGGAGCAGCCCTGACATCTGCCGGGATGATGCCTCCCTGTTTATCCGGGATGCTGAGGAAGCATCCCAGGAGGATCCATGGCACAGCCGCGGGTTGGCCGGGGCGGATTGTGCTGGAGCACCCAGCAGGGAACCGGCTGCTTGCCAGCGGGCCAGTGCCCTGCAGGGAGGGAGGGAGGGGGAAAGGAAAGCTGAACCAGGTGGGAGCAAGGCGAGGGGTCCCGGTGTCACTGGGATGGCGGTGGGAGGGACGCTTTTCTCCCCCCGTTCAGGCAGAGCTGGCGGGGGCTGGCGGTGGCTTTGGCCACAGCCCCCAGCTCCGGCTGGCCCGCTGTGCTGAGGCAGGAGGTTACTGGCAGTCAATGAACGTGAGTAACCGCTGCGCAAGCTGCAGTGGCGCCGACGTGAGCAGCATGCGCGGTGCGGAGCCCTGCGCTGCCGGGGGGCTGCCAGCCCTGCTCGCCCCTGGCCACCCTGAGCAGCCCCCCGCCCTCCCCTGGCCGCCCCTCTGCCCGCGGGACCCCCTCCTGCTGCGGGGCTCCTGACCCCGAGCACCCCGATGACCTTCCCTGGGGATGGACAAGCCACAGGGCACCCCCAGTGAGGTGGGAATGTCGCTGGGGTTGCCCCAGCTTGGATTGCGTGCCCCAGCTTGGATTGCTTGCCCTTGCCCCACGGTGGCCGTGTGGGGCACAGAGGGGACACAATTCCATTAAGGGGATGCTCAGGCTCGGTCCATGGTGTTATCACTCCCTATCCCATTGCTGCTCAGCCAGGGCTCCATTTCAGGGGCAGCTCCTGAGAGCCTGAGGCTGTGCTTGTTCCTTACTCCCGACACATCATGTTCCTTCTGCCAGAAAATGCTAATCAGCCGCGTTTAAAGCAGAGATAATTCCAGGTCTGATTAGCAGTGGCTGCTGCCGGGTGCCACAGCGTGAATGCCAATGAAGGCAAGAGCCGGATTGGGAATTCTGCCTGCCCCCTGCTGCCCTGCTCCGCGCTGTCCCTCCCCCCCGGCCTTAGGGATCAGCATCTGAAGTCATGCCCAGGACCAGTGTCACAGCCTGGTAATCTTCCTTAGCAGCTCTGTGACCTGACCCGGGGATTTCCCTGGTCTTTGCTGTGATCCAGGCCAGGAGCTTCTTCAGCACCGGGAATCAGTGAGATCAGCCAAGGACCAGGGGCAGGGATCATGCTGGAGGTGACAGCATGATGTCACTGTGGCCATAGCCCTGGGGATGCTGATGGAGACACGTCCAGGCACACACAGCCCCTGGCACGGCACATGGAGGTCCTGAGGTCCCTACAGTCCCTGTAGCACCGCTGCCCTGGGAAGCCAAACCCCTGCTGCTCTCTCCCTCCAGGGTACAAGACTCTCCTCAAATGCCTGTCAGGGAAGTTCTGCCAGCGGGAGCTCATTGGGATCATGGGCCCCTCTGGAGCTGGGAAATCCACACTGATGAACATCCTGGCAGGCTACAGGTGAGGCTGGGGGGAGCCGGGGGGCTGGGGGTGCAGGGCTGTGCTGCATTCCCCATTCCCCCACACCTCTTTCCTGCAGGGAGACTGGGATGAAGGGGCAGATCCTGGTGAACGGGCGGCCGCGGGACCTGCGCACCTTCCGCAAGATGTCCTGCTACATCATGCAGGATGACATGCTCCTGCCACACCTCACCGTGCTCGAGGCCATGATGGTGAGCTCTGGGGGACATCCTGTGGGCTGTCTCCTCGTGGGCACTGAGCCCACACTGACATCAGGCATTTCCAAGGACTTTGGGACGTGGAAACAAAATCCTGCTGTCTGTGCACCCTTCATCCTGAGCAGGCAGGGGTGGAAGCATGGTGCAGCCAGTTCTGTTCCCTACATCTGACAGTCGTGTCTCCCTGGCCATCCTCTCCCTGCAGGTCTCTGCTAACCTGAAGCTGAGCGAGAAGCAGGAGGTGAAGAAGGAACTGGTGAGTGCTGAGGAGGGCGGGACCAGACCCCCTCATCTTTCCCCAGGATGGGAACAAGGGGAGCAGGGGATAGCAAGGCTGAAGGGAGGTGGCAGAGATGGGTTGGAAGTCCATGAAAACCCGTGTCTGTCTCACAGGTGAATGAGATCCTGACGGCGCTGGGGCTGCTGGAGTGCTCGTACACCCGCACCAGCTCCCTGTCGGGGGGCCAGCGCAAGCGCCTGGCCATCGCCCTGGAGCTGGTCAACAACCCACCCGTCATGTTCTTCGATGAGCCCACCAGGTGAGGCCACAGGGGCTCCAGCACTGCCTGCCCAGCTGGGCTGCCCCTGCTGGCGTGGCCAGTGCCCTCTGGTGCCCACCTGAGCGTGAGATGGGACTGTGCCCCTGGGACTGGTGCTCTTCTGCATCGATCTGAGGGCAGGGGAGTCGGGGTATCTTTAGGATGTTCTTATCCCCCTCTCAACTCTCCCCTTCTCTCTCTGCCGTCTGTTTCTCCTGCACCCCATCCTGCGTGGCCACAGCGGTCTGGACAGTGCCTCCTGCTTCCAGGTGGTGTCCCTGATGCGGTCCCTGGCTCAGGGTGGGCGCACCATCATCTGCACCATCCACCAGCCCAGCGCCAAGCTCTTCGAGATGTTCGACAAGGTTTGGGCTGGGACACGCTCCCTCTGGCCCCAACACCCAGGAGAGAGGCCATGGGAGGGGCTGCAGGCGTTTGACCTGGGGCTTGTGTGGCCAGGGTCTGGCAAGGGTGGCCTGTGTCACCCTGGGACAGGAAAGTGGGTAGGGGAGGGTGACAATGCCCTGACTGCCCTGCACCTGCCACATCCTGGCTTTTCTCTTGCAGCTCTACATCCTGAGCCAGGGCCAATGCATCTTCAAGGGTGTCGTGACCAACCTCATCCCCTACCTGAAGGGCCTCGGCCTCCACTGCCCCACATACCACAACCCTGCTGATTTCAGTGAGTGTCCCTACCCCAGCACAGGCTGGCGAGGTCCAAACCCAGTCCCGAAGCCCTGGGGACTGCCCAGGTTGCCCAAGGGAGACACCTGTGCCCTTGCTGTTAGGTGCTGGTTGGCTCAGCACCTCTCAGGGGTCCTGTCCTCCTCCACAGTCATCGAGGTGGCCTCAGGAGAATATGGGGACCTCAACCCCGTCCTGTTCCGTGCTGTCCAGAACGGAATGTGCACCATGGCTGAGAAGAAGAGCAGCCCTGACAAGGCAGATTCATCGTGCCCACCGTGTGGGACGGTGAGTGGGGGTCAGAGGAGCCTCCTGTGCCAGCAGGGACCCCGTGGTGTGAACCTGACCCACGTCCCTGTGCTCTTGCAGGATGTGGATCACATCGAGAGCCACACTTTTGCCACCAGCACCTCAACTCAGTTCTGCATCCTCTTCAAGAGAACCTTCATCTGCATCCTAAGGGACACGGTGAGGGCAGGGGAGGCTGCACCAGGGCTTGGGGTTGGGCTCTTTGGGGGCTGGCAGCAACAAGGAGTTAAACGGGGTCTGCTGCTCCTTTGGGATGTTTTTGGGGGTCTTGCTGATCCCCCCTGTGCCTGCAGGTGCTGACCCACCTGCGGTTCATGTCCCACATCTGCATCGGGGTGCTCATCGGGCTGCTCTACCTGCACATCGGCAACGACGCGGGCAAGGTCTTCAACAACACCGGCTTCCTCTTCTTCTCCATGCTCTTCCTCATGTTCGCTGCCCTCATGCCCACCATCCTCACCTGTAAGGAGCTCCTGGCCCCAAAACCCCCTCGCTGCTCCCAGCTCTTGGGGTGCCCCTGGGCAGGGTGTGGGGAGCCAGAGGGATTGGGCAAAAGGGGGAAAATAAGAGAGAAGAGAAAAAAAACTTAAAGAATGGAGGGAACCTTCTGTTTGCTTTGTATTGCAGTTCTGCCTTTTAATTGGCTATCATTTGGCTATTTGACCCTTGTTGGCTCAAAGCAGAACGCTGGAATTTTAATATTTTATTTTTATAATCTGAGAAAAATGTGTGTAAATCTGTATTTTCTGCTTCCCTTCTTTGCTTAAAAAGTCCCACCCAAGCTGACTTTTCCATGTGGAAATTTCCCATATCAGTCACTGATTTTTTTTTTTTCCCCAATGAAGGTTTGAGCACCCTGTCATGATGCAGGTGGGGGTTTACCTGGTGCATCCCACCTGCCTGCACCAGGGTGGGTGGGAGAGGGGCTGGAGCACCCCAGGGCAGGGAATTTCTTTGTTTTACTCCTTGTTTCCCTGCAGTCCCCCAGGAAATGACTGTATTCCTGAGGGAGCACTTGAATTACTGGTACAGCCTCAAAGCCTATTACCTGGCAAAGACCATGGCAGATGTGCCCTTCCAGGTGGGTTTCCATGGATTTAGCCACCACCCTGCTGCCGATGTGGCACAGCCAATTCTCACCCAGTGGCCCAGGCTGGCCGTGGAGGGGTCTCCCCCTCTCACAGGGAGCTCTGTGGGGTGGGGGTGGCCCAGCAGGGCGGTGTCTCTGTCCCTGTGTCACCGTGTCACCTCTGTCCCCGTGCAGGTGATCTGCCCCATTGCCTACTGCAGCATCGTGTACTGGATGACGGGCCAGCCCCCCGAGGCCACACGTTTCCTGCTCTTCTCTGCCCTGGCCACCGCCACGGCCCTGGTGGCCCAGTCCCTCGGGCTTCTCATCGGAGCTGCTTCCACTTCCCTGCAGGTCTGACGGGGCTTTGCCTCTTCTCTGGCCCCGTGACAATTTGGGGGTGAAGTGCTGCCCACAGGTGGGCAGGGATGTGACCCCCAGCGGCCTCTGCTCCCCAGGTGGCCACCTTTGTGGGACCCGTCACTGCCATCCCCGTGCTGCTCTTCTCGGGCTTCTTTGTCAGCTTCAAGACCATCCCCACCTACCTGCAGTGGAGCTCCTACGTCTCCTATGTCAGGTGGGTCCCCAGCTCTGGCCAGAGCTCCCTGTGCTGGGCTCCCCTGGGCTCCCTGGTGACCCTGGGGTGTGCTGTGCCCCAGGTATGGCTTCGAGGGGGTCATCCTCACCATCTACGCCATGGAGCGCGAGGACCTGGAGTGCCTCGAGGACTTCTGCCCTTTCCAAAAACCCATCAAGATCCTGCAGGAGCTGGACGTGGAGGAGGCCAAGCTCTACCTGGACTTCCTCATCCTGGGCATCTTCTTCGTCATCCTGCGGCTCCTGGCTTACCTGGTCCTCAGGTACAAGGTCAAGTCTGAGAGATAAAGGGGCCGTGGGGCCCCGGTGCCGTTCCCGGGCCTGGCCTGCTGTGAGAGATGTTCTGCAGATGGACACGGTGCTCCTGCAGGTCCTGGACCATGGTGGAGGCACTGGGAGGTGCCAGCCAGGCCTGGCTCAGTCGAGAAGGGTTTTGAGACATCTCGGAACTGTTTTAACCTTTCCACACACTCTTCATTGCAAAACGTTTTGTACAGCCCTGGCATGTGCCACCCTCCCCCCCAGGACCGATGAGCCCCACGGAGCTTGGGTCCCCTCTCGTTGTCCCTGCCTGGCTCTGCCCTGGGGACACCAGGGACAGTCCTGCAGAGGTGGTTTGTGCTGAGCACGGCTGCCAGGAGCCTGCCCCGTGCAGGGGGAGCAGCAGGCTGAGGCTGGATTGGGCTGGGCTGGGCTGGGAGGAGAGAGCTGCAGGGTTGGAAGCACAGCTCATGGCCCCACGCCTCGTCCTGGGCAGCAGAGTGTGAGTCAGTGCTGGGAAGAGCCCAAAGATGCCATAGGTGAAGTTGCACAAGGCTTTAGTGTTTCCTGTCGCCGTAGCCACAGAGATTGCTGCATCCCCTTTCTGCACAAATCCTCCTCTTTTTTTTTCCTTTTTTCTTTTTTTTCCTCTTTTTTTTTGTCCCCCCAACAAACCCCACTGCATCCCAGTCTTCATGGAGGGGAAAGGGAGCCAGCAGGCACAGAAGGACTTGGGGCTCTGTCTCAGACTCCTGATGGGACGCCATCCTCAGAAATGGATCTTCAAACCAGGGTCTGTGGGAGCAGGACAGTGTTCTCAGACCTTAGGGAGTCTCACATTCAGTCTCTGTTGTCTCTGGGGTCTGAGACAAGAAGGTCTGAACCAAATCAACCAACACGGAGAGCAGTGACTGGTCCCTTGCATGGAGCGAGGAGGATTTAGGTTCCCACACCCTGCCAGTTCCAGGAGGCTGAAGAACACGGCTGGGCTCGGCTGTGTCATCACTGGAGCCTCTGCTGCAGGAGGAGAGCTGGCCCTGAGCCCTTCCCCTGCAACCTCTCTTCCCCCAGCACCACTGGGGCTGTCTCAGCAGGACAGGGCGGACGAGCCTCACTCAGCACCGACTGTGCAAGGAGGGGATGCCAAGGACACCCAGCCTGTCACGGTGCCAACCCCCAGGGTGACACTGTGCAGAAGGGGGTCCCAGCAGTGCCTGAACTGGAAACCAGGTGAGATCCCAGAGTGGTTTGTTTGCAGTGGGCAGCCTGGACACTGGGAAGACCTTTGCACTTTGTGACTGGTACCAGGAAAAGGTCCCATTTGGCACATGGCTCTGGTGGCTGCCCCAAAGTCACACATCTTGCAGAGGGAAGGCAATTCAGCACCTTGCTGGCTCTCCAGAGGAACTGAGCCGAGCCCAGAGCTGGTGGGGCATCTGCACATGCTGCTGTGCTGGGAACACAGCGCCCTGCTTACCTGCACAGCACAGGCTCCGTGGGTGTGCTGGCACTGCTGGCACCGGGCTGCATTGTCACCCACAGACACGGGAACCCAAAGGGTTCTGGTGAGCACGGGTGTGGGGGAGGCAGCCCTGCCCCACCCTGGCAGGCTGGCCCTGGTTCAGGTCAGTCTGGGGGATCCTGCTCCTGGCACTCTGAGCAGCCAGGGATTGCAGGGCAAATGCCAGATTCCAGCAGAATCCTGGAGGCTGAGCTTTGGTTTTGCTGGCTTGGGTTGGGGCTGCACAGCAGAGTCTGGCTGGCCTGGCCCTGATGCTGGGCACTCAGCAAAGCTGAGTTTCCCCTGCCTGGAGGGATGCTTGGCCATGGGGCACTCCTGCACAGAGGGTCTGGAAGCAGGACACACCCTGCTGCCCTTTCCATGCTGAGCATCGGCGTTTTCTCCAGGGTTGTTGTCTGACTTTTCACTCTCCCTCACAAAATTCCCGTCTCCTCCTGGGTCTTCCTTCAGTGCTGTGCTTTGCAGTGGAGCTGTGCCAGCTGGAGGGCTGCAGTGCTGCCAACCACAGCCACAGGGGCACTGGGGAGTGGGGGACAGTCCCTGTGCCTGCTCTGTCACATGGATGGGCAGGGAGCTGGGGGATGTGGGGCTGTCACCCTTTTCCTTGTCCTGGAGCTGATGGGAATGATGCCCTGCTTCTGTCCTGCTCTTGGGCTGGGACTAGTTCAGACTGGCCCAGCACAGAGCGTGCTCTGCTGGGCTGAGGCTTTTCCCTGGACGGATCCCGAGATGCAGGAGGTGTCAGTGGGGCAGCTTTGCACGGCTCCTGCTTCCTCCCTGGCATTTGGGGCTCTCGTGGTGGGTCCTGTCTTCTGCACCCTGGAGGTGCTGCTCTCCCCAGGGCTGTTTCCTGCACCCAGCACACCTGGACACCCCTGTGCCATCACAGCCATGGCCACCATGGCTCCCAGGAGGACCAGGACAAGACGGACTAGTGAGTGGAGCAAAGGGGCTACCAGCAGGCACCGGTGACTGCCACTGCCCGTGTCCCCCACACACAGGGAAGGCTTTGTTGACCAGGCTCTGCTGCTTGCAGAGAAATGCTGTGGAACAGGCTTCCCCAGCTCGGAGCACCCTGCCAGGGCAGGTGGCTCCCAGTGCCTGGGATGGGGCAGCTGGCAGCACCCTCAGGGTGTCCAGGAGGGCTGAGCACAGCCTGTGCCTCCTGTGCCCATCAGATGCAGTGTCCCAGCTGACCAGGTATGTGGCCACTGCGGGGCAGAGGGCCAGGGCAAACCCTGGAGCTGCAGGATGGCTGTCCCTGAGCTGGGCAAGGGCTCTGGGGAGTGGGGGCGATGGGGCTGCTCCTCCCTGAGGCAGCAGGACACAAGTGAATGTGTTGGTATGAAGGGGCTGATGAGTGAGGCATGTGGCACAGGGCAAAGGCCCCCTTGGTGCTGCCTGAGGAACTGAGCCAAGATGCCACTGCCCTTTCCCTCTCTTCAAGGACAGTCCCAGAGGTGGTGGAAGGTGCAGGGAAATGCAAGGAGCATGTTTGCACTGAGCCCCCAGGCTGGCATGGCTGGGCTGAGCACCCCGGGGTTTATTGCCTGGGTGGTCCCTGCCCTGCAGGAGCGGGGCAGGGGGGGTTTTCTCTGCCCAGGCATGGCAGAGGGACAGAAGGACAGGGTGCAGCCATCCTGCTCCAGGGGGCCCTTAGGGAAGCAGCAAGGATGCACTTTATCAGAGCAGGGAAGCAGAGCTGTGGGTGCTTCGGGCTGCAGGAACCCCACGAGAGAACGCGTCTGGATAATCACGAGGAGCGTGATGGAGGAGAGCAGGCTTCTTCCCCCACACCTCCTCTCCTGCCCCTGCCTTTCCTTGTGATGCACTTTGAGTGGATGAGGGTGGGGTTCAAGCTGTGGCTCTGGCTCCGTGGGAACACCGGTTGAGCCTCAACCCATGAAAAATTGCTGCAGCCCCTTTGGCACGGCTGGATCAGGTTGTCCCTCTCATGGGGGCTGTGATGGCAGGCAGGCAGGGCTGTGGCCACTCACCTCCATGCATGTCCAGGCCACCTTTGTCACACGCACAAGAAGAGCAAATGCTTCATCACCTGGCTGGGGTTTGCTGGAGGGGAGACTGGGCTAGAACAGGGAGGGGATGGGGCTTCTTCCAGGGTTTCAGCCCTCTCCCAAATCAGGCAATAAAACAGTGTTTCCTTCTCACTGTGTGTGGACACCATTTGTCCTGTCCCTCTGCCACAGACAGCGTGTGGCTGCCTGGGATCTCTGTTTGTGTCCTTGCCACGCTGGACCCAGTGGTTTTCCAGCCTTCACCGTGTCCACATTGCAGAGCAGGCTGGACAGTGGGGGGCACGTGTGATCCAGGGGGACACCGTGCAGAGAAGTGCAGGCATTGAAACCCACATTTCCACAAGAGCACAGGTGTGAGCTGCTTTCTCCCTGTGACAGCTTGCCAAAATAAGATGCAGGTAACAGCTCAGAGGCTGAGGGAGACTGCTGGCACAGCTCTGTTGTGGCAGCTGCTCTGGGTGCCATTTGCCCGGGTCTTTCTGCCTTGCTGGGAGAAGGCTGTGAAGCAGGACCAGGGCATTGCTGCCCACAGGTGCAGCCTGGCAGGAACCAGGCAGGGTGGAGGTGAGGCCCTGGGCTCCAGGATGGGCTGCACAAGCAGGTAAGTGCCCCGCAGGGACGGGGTGCCAGGTGCCAGCTTGCTGCTGGCACTCACCAGTGCCCAGAGGGTCCCGGGAGCTGTTGGGCAGGAGGAGATGTTGTGGTTTGTGTCGGTGTTTCCGAGATGCCAGCTGTACTTGTTGGATTTCACACATCAATAAAACTTATATTTATAGTGTACTGCCTGGGTATCTCACTTCCCTGAGAGGCTCGAGGGTGTGATGGAGGGTGTTGAATTTGGGGTGCAAATATGGCCTGGCAGCCTTACCTCAGTGCTAGCATCCCTGGGTGTTCCCGGGACAGCATCCAGGGACTGAGAAGAGTGCGTGTGGCCGCAGTGACACAGGTGTCCCTTGCTGGGTGGCCAGACCAGATGTGCAGCAGTGAGCAGGTGTGCGGGCAGGTACAGATGTGCGTGTTTGTGTGTGATGACGTGTGTTAAACAGACACACCCAGCCTGCTCCTGCTGGGGAGCGATTCTCTCCAGAGCAGAACTCGTCCTTGCCGCCTCCAGTTGCACAGCCGGGCAGCAGCTGGGGATGCAGAGCCGCCAGATGTGTCCGCACGACATCCCTGCCTTGCAGCACATCTGGTAAAACCGCATCTGCCCCAATTCCCTGCGTGTTCGGGAGGGTGTGCGGGTGTGCGGGTGTTCCTCCCGGCCTCCAGCCGCTCTCCCATCCTGCTCGGGTTAGCTGGCAGGTCCGGCCGCGGGGCGGGACAGGGCACGATGGCGTTGCAGGAAGTTCTGCTTGCGGAGCTGCCGCCTCCGCAGCCGAGCCGTGCCTGGGACAGGCATGACAGGAGGCGGATGGGCAGCTCCGGGCTGTGCCCCGTGAGCCCGGCAGACCGGGCGCAGGCAGCTCGGCTTTCCCGGCTGGAATCCTTCTGGACGAGGTAACCCCGCCGCTGTCGCTATCGCTGTCGCTATCTCTGTCGCTGTCGCCGCGCTCGGTGGCAGCTCCGCCGCTGCCCCGGGCTCCTGTCCCCCACCCACGGCCTCTCCATGGAGCGGGGAGCTGGGAGGGCACAGCGAGCGAGGGCACCAGTGCCACGGGGGTCCCGAGAGGGGTCCGCAAAGGGTTCTGCGGCAGGACGGCAGCGC